GTAGATCCGTTCCTCATATTTCTGATTGACCGATTTCACTCGGTTGCAGTCTCACTCAAGGCGCTATTTTTCAAGGCCTTAGAAGCACGTTCATTGCCGCCCCACTGAGCAGAGCGCCCAAGCTCTGATTCCAATGCTTGCAGATATCAGGCCTTCCCTTTGCTGGTCCTTTCTATGATTAAACTTCTGTTATCTGAGCAAACTCCGGACGCCCATCTCTGGTCGCATGCGGCATCTCAAATGGATTTCTAGTACATTTTGGGCATACCACCGAATTTCCGTAATGGTTTGCTTATGCGTCTGCCCAGCTCACTGACTTCCAGATCTCCAAAGTTGTACTGGTTTATTCGAAATGGACATCACTCACTGACGTATTTGCTTTATTGGTGAAAACCCCTGCCCCCTACTTTCTTTATCGCGATAGCTTTTTCTCCGGTTAGTGGTAGATCCTTGATCCAGGCGTCTTCTTTTTGCTGGTCTTGCTCTATTTTTGTTTTCCCCGAGTTTGCTTAGGCAGTAGGCAATGTTATCGCTACTTCTACCTTCCTCCAATCTCCTGTTTATTAGATTTTTCTCCCCAAGGATGTCACAGGCCTCCCTAATCTTCCGCTTCCTTGTGTTATAACCCCTAAACGATTCAATTTGTCTACCCTTTCATGTTGCGCTGGTAGACTTGTGAAAAGTGTTGATTTGTCTTTCATTGTCACCTAAATATTCCATTTACTTAATATTGGCCGTAGTTTTTGAGTTAGTTCGCAAGAAGGTAGGCATATCCACTTTTGTGAATCCTTCATCGTCCTTACTGTTATTTCATAGTCCCCATACTGCCATCGGCTTTTCACGGCCCTTATATTTCTTTGTATCACTTCAATTTGTCCATCTCCTCCTCCCAGAATTCTACATCTGTTAGGCGTAGGCTTCGGATGATCATGTTCCTCATTATTCTCATCTTTAGTCTGTACTACCTAAGAACAAGACCAAGTTGCAACAACGAGGTCAACCCACTTCTATAAATCGAAAGCAGACTGCGAACATACCAGAGGCCTCAACATCTTGGTCTTTATATCTTCAATCAAACTACTGTAGTAAAATTGCCAAACAATACACTGATTACAGCCGAATAAAGAAGACAATTGTAAGTCTATCTTACTATCTTACTTTTTTAAACAGTTGTAAACGTTATGGTATTACTCGTAAGTTGTGTGACCTTAAGATACCCTACCCCTCGGATAAGGTTAATGAGTATCTCCACAAGGCTTCTATTCAGAAATTAAGTGAGGCATATGATACTGAACGTTATTAGTTGTTTAAGTTTATAGATATTAAGTCAAAGCTCCAGCGTGATTTGGCCAAGATCCTGTCTCCGGAAGATTTTCAAAAACTCCAGAGCATGACCGACAGGAAATTGCGTAGGATTTCTGACAATAAAAAAATGGCATGACGGTAAATTGCGTAAGTTTGGATTATAAGACAGACTAAGTTAAAGCCAGTACGCCCAGTAGAAGTGGCATCCGAGGTGGCAAAACCTACTGATCAGCACGAGGGTCGGAAGAAAGTATTACACTTAACATCAATTCCTCTCAATCCCGAAACAACCGCGTTCCTGAAAAAAAAGACAGAATTTTTCAATTCAACATCATAGGAGCCTTCTAGGAGACATCCTGGTGGAGGTTATCAATATCGTCGACAAGTTCCATGAGGAGACAAAACTAAAAATGGAGATGGAACTAACTTTAAAGATCTTGACCCATCAGGAGCCTACACACAGGAACAGATTTGTCGGGATACTCAAAACCCTGGAAACGAATCAACAATTAATCCCTTAGTCGGATAAGGGAGGAGCTACAGTGATAATGGACAAAAAACAATATACCGAAAGTTGAAACATATTGTACGGACCACATATCGTATACTAAGCAAGGACACAACTATGAAGATCAATGGAATCTTATGTGCCATGCTGAAAGATATGCATAGTAATGGGGAAACTAACGCATGGACAAGAAATCAAATCATAAGAAAGGATTCACGACCACCAACAGCATAAGGATTACCGAAGATATACAAAGAAGGCGAGCAACCAAGGCTGATAGGCAACAAACAAGTATGGAGTAACACACAAATGAGCAAAGTTTATATGTTTGAAACTTAATAAATTAAATGATATACTATCAAACACAGTGAAACATTCATATGAATTTTCTCAAAAATCAAAAACATGGCACTGGAAGAAAGGGACTTATTGGTAAGTTTCGATGTGGAATCAATGTATATAAAAAATATGGGATCGCCGCTCTCACCACTTTTGGCAGACCTATACATGAACAAAATAGAAGAGAGCTTCAAGATGCACCGTTACAACCGGCAGCGCTCATGTGGTACCTGGATGATTACTTTGCACGATGGAAGTAGAGGAAGGTGAGCGGTTACCGTTCCTGGACGTTGAAGTGGTTCGCTCTAATGGGATGCTCAAAAAGAAATTGCTCAGAAAGAAGTCCTATGCTGGGATAATGCTAAATTTCCGGTCCCAGCACAATTGCACTCTAAAGATTGGAATAATGAGGAACATGATCATCCGAAGCCTACGCCTAACGGATGTAGAATTTTGGGACGAGGAGCTAGACAAATTGACGAAGATATTTCTCGACAATGGCGACCCTAGCGAAGCGATACAAAGAAACATTCGGGCCGTGAAAAGCCGATAGGAGAACTGGGACTATGAAAAAACGGTAAGGACGATGAAGGATTCACAAAAGTGGATATGCCTACCTTCTTGCGAACTAAGTAAAAAACTACGGCCAATATTGGGTAAACGAATATTCAGGTGGCCATGAAAGAGGAATCAAAACTTCACAAGTCTACCAACGCAACATGAAAGGGTAGACATGCGGCGCCTGCAAAGAGAAATATATTGGCGAAACAGGGAGAAAAATTAGCACATGAATCAAGGAAAATCAGAGGCTCTGCAAGAAAATGGATACCGAAAGATCCAAACTAGCGGAACACATCGCACAGACTGGACAAAATACCAATTGGAAGGCAACAGAAAGGAGGGCCCCATACGGTGACAACACAAGAAAGCGGAAGATTAGGGAGGCCATTGACATCCTTGGGGAGAAAAATC